ACTGGACGGCATCTGTCAGCCCCAGGGGTTGTCCGCATGTACGTGCAGGTTTGGGAGTCCGTTGATGAATTTTGAATAGGGCTCTGGGAGCGGCTGATCTGGAGATATTCAGCCCAAAAGTTGGTCCCCAGTGTTGATTAACTCAGGTCTGGGCTTCTAGCCCTTGATCAGTGACGTTTAGAGATTTCCTGGTTGTTACATTGTCTTCTATTGAGTTCTTTCTTTGGTTGATCATCAGCTTCCAGGTGATAATTGCTGTGTGCTACTATGTACACATTCAATCACTGATTCACTCGCTCTTTCAGGGGCCTGCCTGATACAGAGAAGGACAGTTTGATTCCTGCCCTTGTTAACATTGTTACAATGTATAACTTACTAAAACACATTTAGTTGAAAGTTGAAAGGTGAGGAGTATAAAATATAAGCTACAAATGCCATGGCACAGAAATAGATAAAAATACCAAACTACAAGGGGAGATACAAAATGCGCACACACAAATTTTAAAACACAATTCCTTATCTTAAAGTGAGAGAGAGAGGAAGGAAGAAAAGGTAGAAAAAGAGAAACATATCCAAAGAGGGGAGAGCAAATGCAGGCAAGAGGAAAAGGGGGCTTTCTGCTACACATGCACTCCGGTGTGTGGCAGATTGCCCCAGGTGGAGTATGGTAGGCTGGGGCTAACATCTGGGCCAGCCACAGCAGCCCTACTTAGGGTCCTGGGGGCCTTCCAGGGCTGCAGCAGTGGTGATCTGGTCATGTGAAGCCTGGCTGGCAGACAGAGCATGGCTCTGGCTGGCCAGAGTCTGGCTTTGGGCAGCACACACTGCAGGCGTGTGTGCCACCCCACTTTTTTCTGGCATGGTTTTTTTAGATCACGACATTTCCCAGGATCTAATTTTTGTGGCATGCTGCAAAAATGCAGTGCGAAGAACCTTTTCACATGCACTATATGCATTTTGCATTCCCTCAGAAGTCTTTGAGGCACCGCAAGGTGCATGGTCCTGCTCATCTGGACATGCCCTTAGAGTTTGGTCTAGCATAATGTGTCAACAAGGTGTGATAATGTATACATATCTGTATTTTATTCAAATCTCTGCCTCAATCTCAGGGCACAAAGAGGGAGGTGTTTGTGTATTAATTTTCCATGCAGTGTGAGAATGCTTTAAGGCAAATTTGTAGTAAGACCAGCTATCAGTATCACGTTTGTTGGAATCCGTTTTTCCCTGCTACAGAAGTATCAGCTATTCCTGAACGCAGGTGGAAGGCATAGTTCAGATTTGACATTTATCCTCTCCAAGGGGTGTGAAATAGAAGGAATACATATACCTATTTCAGAGAACCAATTCAGGCACCGAGTAGCAATCCAGAGTGGACTATTTATAACTTTTTTTCATTCATAGAATCAGAAAATTAGGGTTGGACAGCACATCAGGAAGTCATCTAGTCCAACCCCCTGCTCAAAGCAAGGCCATCCCCAACTAGATTATCCCAGGCAAGGTACCTAGCTGGGTCTTAAAAACTTAGAAGGATGGAGAATCCATAACCTCTCTGGGTAACCTGTTCCAGTGTTTTACTATCCTCCTAGTGAGAAAATCCCTCCTAATATATAACCTAACCTCCCCTCCCTGCAACTTCAGACCATTGCTCCATCCCCTGCCACCACTGAGAACAGTCTAATTCCATCCTCCTTTGAACCCTGCTTCAGGTAGTTGAAGGCTGCTATTAAGTCCCCTCTCAGTCTTCTCTTCTCCAGACTAAATAAGCCCAGTTCCCTCAGCATCTCCTCAGAAGTCATCTGTCCCAGGCCCCTCACCATTTTTGTTGCCCTCTACTGGATTCTCTCCAATTTGTCCACATTCTTTGTGTGGTGCAAGGGGGAGGGGGGGGCTGCAAAACTGAACACAGTACTCCAGCAGTGGCCTCACCAGTGCAACACTCCTACCAATGCAGCCCAGTATGCATTTAACCTTCTTGGCAACAAGGGCACACTCTTGCCTCATATTTAGTTTATTGTCTAATGTAGCCCCCAGGTCCGTTTCTGCAGAGTTGCTGCCCAGCCAGTCAGCCCTCAGCCTGTACTGGTGCATGGGATTGTTCTGTCCTAAGTCCAGGACTTTGCACTTGTCCTTGATGAACCTCATGAGATTTCTTTTAGTCAAATCCTCTAGTTTGTCTAGGCCACTCTGAATCCTAGCCCTACCCTCCTGCATATCTACTACTTCTCCTAACTTGGTTTCATCTGCAAACTTGATGGGGGTGCACTTTATGCCATCTTCCAAGTCATTGATGAAGATACAGAACAAAACCAGCCCTGGGACTGAGTCCTGGGTCACTCCCCTTGATATTGGCTGCCAACTAGACATCAAGCCATTGATTTCTACCTTCTGTGCTGGATGATCCAGCCAATTTTCTGTCCACCTTATAATCCATTAATACAGCCCATACTTACTTAGCTTGCCAGCAAGAATGTTGTAGGAGATCGGATCACCCCACCGTCACTCACCCTGGCGATCTTCAGAAAGCATCTTGACATCTACCTTGCTGGGGTCATCTGCCCCCAGCAGTCTTTCCTGCCCAAGTGCAGGGGGGCTGGACCTGATGATCTAAAAGGTCCCTTCCAGCCCCCAACATCTATGAAACTATGAAAAGCCTTGCTAAAAATCAAGGTATACTACATCCAGTGGTCTTCCCGCATCCACAGAGCCAGTCATCTCATGATAGAAGTCAATCAGGTTGGTCAGGCATGACTTGCCTCTGGTGAATCCATGCTGATGGTTCCCAATCACCTTTTTCTCCTCCAAGTGCTTAGACATGGATTCCTGGAGAATCTGCTCCATGTTTTTTCCAGGGACTGAGGTGAGCCTGACCCGTCTGTAGTTCCCTGGATCCTCCTTTTTCCCTTTTTAAAATATGGGCACTATATTTGCCCTTTTCTAATCATCCGGGACCTCTCCTGATCACCATGAGTTTTCAAAGATGATGGCCAGCAGGTCTGCAGTCACATCAACCAGCTCCCTCAGCACCATTGGGTGCATCTCATCCAGCCCCATGGACTTGTATACATCCATCTTTTCTAAATAGTCCCTAACCTGTTCTTTCACCACTGTTGGCTGCTTACCTCCTCTCCAAATTGGTAGACTGCTTACTCATTTAATTTGCAGTTCTTGATCTGAATTCTGTTTTTCTTTGAAAGAGTACCATCACTTCCCATGCAGCAATTTACAGTATTATAATTCAGTGTTTGAGAATTCCTTGTGCCCAAGAAGAAAATATTTATTTTGTAAAGAAACCAAAAGGGAAAGAAAAACAAAAGCACAAAGCAAGCAAATGCACCCTGTATAAATGGTTTATTTGCTTGCAGCATGAATTTTATTTAGTGTTAGGAGTAGTCCAAGGTTCAAAGGCCTTCTGGCAGATCAGAAAGACAGATAATTAGTCTTTTCCATATAACATCTTCAACCCTGTTTTATAAAACTCCTTCAAAACAGGAAAGAAAGATCAGTCCATTGGCTGGCTTATGCATGTGCACCTGTGTTCAGGAAGAATAAATTCTGGATAAATGTTTTAGTGATGAAGGTAAGGGTGTCATTAAAAACTGGGATACTGCTGATGACCTAAAGAAGAATGCTTTGCATTTGAAAGCCTAATTTTATCCCATGTAGCTGGTTCAATGAAAGATATCACCTACAGAAATCCTTGCCTCTATCACAGATATAGCATCCCTCCAACAGTACCAAAATTAGGATACCTCATTTGGCTGAAATACTCAGGTTTTACTAGTCAGAAAAGTTGTGGTTATGCAATTTTGCACACTTATTAGTAAGCCAAGGTTCTTTTTCTACTTGTAGAATTGCTATTTTGTAGCCCTTTTCCAGCCCTATTCAGTTCTCAGCAATGGACCTGAATAGATAGCTAATATATAGATACACACACAAAGAACATATTGACAAGTATATTAAAAAACCCCAGCAAACAGTTCTTATCCTCTTGTGGGATGGTAAAGGCTTACTTAATCATCACATACATGATATGCTTAAAAAAATTAAGAAAGAACAGGAGGTAGAAATATGTTTGGTTTTCAACCTAAATATAGCCTGCTTTTGTTTTGGTTGATGCTACTGAACAGATTAGGTTCTGTCCCTGCTCTATGTAGCCATAACTCTAGAAAAATCTCTCTCTTTTCTTTCTAGCCTTCAAAAATATGGTGCGTATTATATTTGGGGTCAAGTGTACTTTAAAAAATATGGTGCTGTTAGCCTCAGAGCTGTAAAACACTGGCACTACACAAAATCACTGCAAGGCAGCATTTAGATTCTTAAATAGGACCTTTCCGCTACATTCGGAGTTTCTAGATATAAAAACACATGGGAGATGCCTGTATTATTTCTTATCAATACTTCTCCGTTTGACTATTGCCACAATGTCTGCTACATGGATGTAGAGCAAGAACTCCATGCTAAGGGTTTTTACACATGCAAGACAGTGGCCTTTGTTAACCCCAGTCACCAACACTTCAAAACAATAGAGGAACCGATTCCTTTTAAGGTTTACTCACGTCACATTAAGAAACTGGTTGGCAACTCAAGGGAGGGGACATCCAAGTTATGAGCCCTTGAACAAAGACCTTGAAAACTGTCCAAAGTCTTAGCCTGGAAGCTGGGAGTAAGAGACAGGGACTGCAGAAAAAGCAGCAGAAAAAGCAGCTGCTGGAGGCAGGAAAGTGTCCTGCTATGCAGGACCTGCCACTTGGAAGAATAGCGGGGGGGGAGGGCAGAAATGTGCCCTCCGAGCCCCCCCCTGCCACTTGGAAGAATGCACATGGACAGACTGTGGTGGGGTAAAAGCAGGTTACCCTGGAAACAAAACAACAGATTACACATTTCATTATACTACTATAATGTAGCATCAGAGAAATACAGACCAACTATTTCTGCTATTTCAGGCTCAGTACAAATAAGCAAACATGCTCCCTCTTGGTAATAGTAAAACATCAACAGCTTAAAAAAAAAGAATATTTTTGTATGATTTTTATTAAGTTAATATTTACAAAATATTGCAAATACATAACATTCATCCAGCTTACACATAATATCAATGGTAAAAAACTCTGTCATGTCAGTGTTGAATTACAAAAACTTCATTTTTAAATTAAAGTACACTTGCTTGTCCAGTATACTTTCACTCATGTAAATATACGTTATGTTAAAAAGTCTAGGTATTTGGACCCCTTAATATTAAAAGATACAAGGGACCACAAAAAAAAAATGTTCTTCTTCAGTTGCAGGGCAGTATTCCTGTAATGAACAGTCTATTATTGCAACCAAAGTCCTTTTGCTTCCAAATGAAAAGTTTTTAGAGTATTAAGAAATAAGATTTTAACAACACAGGAAAATGTAGACAATGTGAAAATGATCACAATCTGGGAAGTTGTGTCTTGCTGGAAAAATAAATATTCCTCCTGGAGAATGTTCTTTGTCCTTGGAACTAAACAGGACTGTACCCATCTGATTAGAAATTCATGACTGCCAGCATGATGCTAGAAAAATGATAAGCATGTTTTTATAAAACACATTTCTTAAATAATCTGTGGTTCTTTTCTATTTCAAATTCATCATACGCCACTACATTAAAAAACAAAACAAAACAAAAAGTCTGAATATGGTGCATGGCTGACAACATGATATAAAAGGTAGGCAAATTTTACAAGTGCACAGAATATTATTATACAGCAATCCTCATAAAAAAAGAGGACAGAATCGAGGTTTCTGCCATATGACAAAAACTTTTTTATAAAGTTAAACCACCAAAAGAAAAAAAAAAAATATTGTACACATCAGATTAACTCGTAGTGGCATTTGCAGGTTCTGGAGACTGAAGAAATTCATAGGGGTCATGAACCATATCTTGCTGTTCCCCTACACTCAGATGAGAAGGGCTTCCTGCAGAAGTTGAAAAGAGACCATTTAATAAAAGGAAACATCTAGGAGAGAGGTTCCAAAGACAAAAAGCGCTGGTATTCAATCTAGCTTTCTTCCCATTCCTCCCACTGCAGGTGACTTATACACTGGATTTTCAACGAGACCTAGGCTGCAACCAGCCTGCAAACTTACTGTATCCAGCAGCAGCACCCTTAGAAAAGTTGTGCTGCTTTTCAGGCTCCCTATGCAACATCAGTGGCGAGCCTGCCTACAGAGCAATAGGGCATTTATACACGTACCTTTTTGTCCTGAGATACGCCGGAGATCTGCCGCTTCGGAGCAGACTCGATTAACTGAGTTTGCTCTGCACGCAAGCTGATGTGAATTACAATACTGCACACAGTGCAGGGCAAGTGGCGAAATGTGCATCAGCATGCAGAAAGTGGTGGCAGTGCATGTTTGAATTAAAACACCTTTTATGTGTTTTAGTTCAAAAGCATGCTGCTGCCATTTTCTCAGAGCTGATGCGCATTTCGCCGTTTATATAAAACTGGAAGTGATGCAGCGTAGGACACTATTTGAAGTGCTGTGGCATTCGCATGTGTAAAAATGCCCCCAAAGACTATTAACTAACAGACACATATAGATAGTGCACCATGTTTGAACATGGCGCTGCCAGATACAGCAAGTCATAGTCAAGACATGGCTTCCAGTTCTTTAGTCACTACTAAGGCTCCTTAATATCTTAGGTTCTCTTGAAAAATCTACCCCTTTCTACTACCCTAAATTTCCATTATTTACCAATTTTAATCAAAAGTATCCAAAGGAAGTTTCTTGCTTCTTAAGCGCGGCACAAAACTATCAAAATTTCATGTTGCCATTTGGTTCCATCTTATCCCTGGACCTTCTGCTGGTTTCAGATTAACTAAGGAGGTTGTTATAATCTTCAAGCAAGAGTGGATTTCCTTTGGACTAATACCTGACACAGCTGAAGGACTTATTTGAAAAGAATATCATGGGCTTTTAAGAATGAGAAATGGTTACACTCAGTGCATAGTATGTTTCAGCCAAATCATCTTCAAACAGGCATTTTTATTATTGGAATATTCCCTCCCTGTCCTTTTACCCGTAAAGTAGGTCATATCGCTCTGAATTGTGATGTTACAAATTCTGAGACACTCCGGCTTACCGAGGTGATGCTGATCTCTTTCAGAGGTGTTGGAGAGGGAACTGAGGTTAGATGAAGGCCTGGATCCCACTCTGTCAGTCTGAGCTTCATGAAGGTCCTGCAACAACTTCGTTGTTTCATCCAAATGTAAATGATTATCATCATGATCAAGCTCCTTCTTCACTTTCCCTAGGAACCACAAATAACCAAGATCAATGGCTATTAAGTGTGGATGAAGCCAATAATCAGAGCGCACAGATAAGCAAACAAAGATGCACCAGATTCCTTTCTTAAAGTGGACATAACTGATAACATGTTGAAAAAACAAGGACACACAAGGAAAGAACTGTATTTGGTTAGAAAACCAGTGCTAAGGAAGGACATGATAGATGTCATCACAGATTTAAAATAACTGTAATAAAGAGGATGGGGATCAATTTTACTCAGCATCTAGCCAGGGCTGAACGGTAAGTAATCAGCTGAATTTGCAGCAATAAAAATGTAGATTAGAAAAACCTCTCTTTTAACAATAAGGATTTTAAAGCACTGAAACAGACCATCTAGGGAGGATGTGAAAGCACGGTAATTGAAGGGCTAGAGTACAGACTAATATAGTTTGGGGATGGTCTAACTACACTTCATCTTCTCCAAGGAAGAAGGATATGAATTAGGTGACCTCTTTGATTCTTTTCAATCCCACACTTCCCAAATCAGTAGGCCCAAAACTATTAACTGGAATATGGCTACAGCAAAAGAGGTGTTAACCGGCACTTTATTAGCTGGAAAACTCTATTAACTGGCATCCAAGGGACACAGCAAAAGCGAAACCGGAAGTACCACTTCCAGGTTTCGCCACCGCTGCGAGGAGAGTTCTTGCCACTTCTTCGGCCCACGGCCCAGGGCAAAGCAACCTGTGCGGAGCAAAGCAGCCTGCACAGGTCTCCCTTCCCTGTCCCCTGGCACACTGACACCGGGGAGTGCACCAGACGGTGTACACTTGATTAACCGGAATATTTGATTAACCGGCATCCCCCATTCCTGGGGGATGCCAGATAACAGAGCTTTTACTGTATATGGTTCTTTTCTTAATCCCGCCCCTTGCAAAAAAACTCCAAACAAACAAACAAACAAACCCTAATTTTACAATAAAGCTAAAGAAACCAAGCCTACTTTCAACTAGTTTAATATATGCAGAAACAGATGTTTTACTCTTATATGAGGTTCTCAAAGAGATTCCCACATTACACAATAAACAGGAAAAAGGAACTCCACTTCCAGGAGAAATATGAGCTGATACTTTGAATGCTCCAGCTGGAGCTGAATAAACTGAAGCCGAGAATTCGGAAGAGATTCCTGACTATTAGGGCAATCAGATCCTGAAACAGTCAGTTCTGTTTTTGAACACATTCAACAGGAGTAGTAGGGACAAGAAAACCAGGCTCTATCTTCAAAAGCACTTAGGCAAGTTTACAAAAGGAAGGCGACATATTGCATCTGCAGTAAAAGTACACAGCGACCCAGGATGTCTATCCATTCCCATCCTATTTTCATGACTTTTAGCAAGAGGAAACATACATAGGACTTAATAATCATGTTTAAATTAGGCAGCAATGTGTTTGAAGAAACTCTAGTTATTCTTTCCCAACACTTCAAATGTTCACAGTCAGTCAGTAAAACCATACACTGGGCAAATGTATATTTCTCTAGCACAGAGAGAAAGTCAGGATGAAGTTCTTAATATACTTGACTCATGACCAAACAATATTTGAAACTCAAGTCTTTTATACTTTCAGGCCTTGACAGGCAAGTTCTTGAGATGGGTGGCCTTCAACTGTGTTATATCTACTGCTCTGGAGGTATGCAAATTCATTCATTTAATTTTTTTAAGGTGACTTTTGGAAGCTGCAGCTCTGGGTTCAGTCCCAGGCATAAATCTGCAGGAACGTGTAAGAAATTAAAACTTCAAATCTTTTATGACTACTTTGGTTTACAGAACAGAATAAGAGCTCCCCCCCCACCAAATAATTATGTTATTATAGAATGAAGGCATGCCTATGCAAAGGGAAGACAGACTGAGGTTGGGTGAAGCATTTTTCCTGTGCTGTGTGCTATCTACATGGATCATGAAAATGTTCGGTATTACTCAAGCACCTCTTTAGTAAATCTAGAAGTTACTCCACTTTAACTACTAGAGCTATATTATTCTACACAGCTGAATTGGCAAGCGTATTTAATCATCACTTACCCAATGAACTTAACATGGAAATATCAAGGGACACATCTGAATATGGCTTCATAGATAAAAAGTCCAAAACAGAAGTATTATGGTCTCCAACTGATTCCCCAACCTGATTCATTATAAAATGAAGAGGAAGAAAAAGAAGGATGAACTGGAGACAGAATTAGTGGGTATTTATCAAAGTAACTGTAGTTCTTGAAGGTTATTTCTTGCATATATCCACACTCTAAAATAATGTGATATGAGCTTGAACTTGCCAGACAGCTGTACTTGGAACTGACCACATCCTGCTTCTATTAGCATGCCTGCCTCATACCCAAAGGGGTAGCTACAATCACCATCTCATTTCCTTTCCTCTGTTGCAGTGCCATAGAACAGCAGGGAAAGGGGAGGGAAGGTTGGTCTCCCTACGTAGTAACCCCTTCTACCTCCCATGTGACAATGCTGAAGTATGAAATGTGTAGCTTTAATTCAGTATCTAGAAAGCTCTGAAAGGACATATTTCATCCCCCTGCATGGATCAAGGCATGCAATATTTGAAGATGGGCAAACACTTCATCATTATATTTGTAGATCTAACAAGTTATAATAGCACTTGCTCAAATGACCACTTTTTTGGTACCAAAATCTGGGAGACCGTTCCAAATGCTATACAGTGCTAGGCCCACTCTGGTCTTGGTTACTGCAAGCTACCATTATTGTGGTGTTATGGAGGGCAGATTAATCAGTCCAAGCATAGTACTGCATGAACACAGCTCTGTTGAAGTGGGGGGGGCCAACCTTTTAGGCAAATGTGACACAAATTAACCCCAGATCCTCCCCAATAGCCACTATCCTCCCCGTCTTGACCTATCTGCTTTGTACTCTGTCTGAACTGCTGTTCTTCTTTCTGCTCCCTTCTCTGCACTCCCTGTGAGATCTGCTACCCTGATTTCTCTTCCTTGCCATGTCCCAACGCTGTCTACCCCTCCCTGATCTACCTATAAAATAAAGAGGCTGCCTGTGCCACAAGTTGGCCACCCTTACTCTACTGCTTCCAGTTCAGAAACATCGTATTTTATCACATACAGCACACACTTCTTCCCCCTCAAAATCAGCAATTCCTCTAAATTGTGGTGTATATATTAAGCCCTAGATAGAATCACCCAGCTCTGATTCCTGCTGCACAGTGCAGCAGCTCTGGTATTACTAGGCAGGCAGCTGAGGGGGTCAATTACTTGTTAATAACCTAGTTTTGTCACTTCACACATTTTAACAATCATCTCACCTTTTTAATAGTCATTCCACCAATCAAGCAAATCTTTCTTAGAGTAATATTGCTGCCTGCTAAGGCTTCTGGCCTCTTCTCCTATTTCACAGATCTTTAGCTGTTTTTAAGATCATAGGTCCACCCCTGGAGACCATTCTTCAGCAGCAGCTAAGGTTTTAGTTAAGCAGGAAAGGGAAGGTGAGCAAGCTGAAGATTAGGCTTTGTCCCTGCTCTCTACAGCTATAATGCTGGAAAAACCATTTTTTCTTTATTCTGCCTTTCAAAAACAAGGTGGGTGCACCTACATATTAATTAATGCACTTTTGGTAACGCACATTAAATTTAGTACTTCCAAGTGTTTACACACGTGGTCCAGGGGAGGGGGAGAATGCTTTAGAGCAGCTCTAATTAAAGCACCTGGATCATCTCATGTATCAGCATCCCCACACTTCAAAAGGGCAGCAGGGGCACTTTATCTAAAGCTTGTTGAACAGGATGCACGAGATGCAGGAGGCTGCTGGAACAAGGTAATTGCCATGCTTCAGCAGATTTAATTAACTGATTAATCTAGTTTGCTCCAACACGTTGGAATCCCTGCCCAACTGAGGGCTCACTGCTAGCTGCCCCACTGGCAGATCGGGGCAGGGGACTAGGACCTGCCCCTCCCCTGTAGCTCTTGCCAAGCGCTCTGCCCCCAAATGGGGAGCCAGGGCCAGGAGCTCCCTGCTGCTGGGGCAGGAGAACACTGTCCCTACCCAGGTTCTGCCACTGGAGCTCACCCGGCAGCAGGCAGCTCCCAGGGACAGGGAGCAATCTCCCAGTCCCTGTCAGGAGACAGCTGTCTCCTGGTCCTGTACTCCCTGCTAGCCCCTGGGCAAGTACTCAGGGGAAGCCTAGAGCTTCCCCTAGCTGCTAAAGGAGGTCAGTGGACAGCCACAGGGGACGGGAGAAGACTGCTGCCAGGAGCAGCAAATCTTCTCTCAAATCCCTGCACGTGTAGATGTCTGCCCAGGGTGGGTTTACTCTAGAGTAATTTACTCTAGAGTACTCCACCCCGCAGTATCTGCACATGAAGACACACCCAGTGTGATGTAAACTTGGGTGTTTTATTGAATTCCTTTCTATAGCAATGACAGATGTCATAAAACTGAGTTCAGGTAAAGATGAAACAGAAAGATAAGACTAAGTTTAAGTCAGTTATCAGAATTCTCATACACTAAGAGATCTTGTTTTCTTATTTTGAAATACTTAAAATGCAATGTAGATATCAGATTTCAATCCATTAATCCTCAGCATTCACAAAAGCATGTGGAGCTAGAATCGTATACAGTACTCTGCACCCATCCTTTCTATCCATCTAACAAGCAGCAAGAAAACACAGTAGTCTTACCAGGATCTGTTTGGAGGAGTCTGGGCAGGTATTGCGCAGTTTATGTTCTTCCTTGATGAGAACTGGTAGAACCTTAAGTATCAAATCACATTCTAGGTGTTAGCATGTTACACGAAACAGCTAACTTCTTAAAGAACTCATCAGTTCATTTAAATCAACAAGTTCAAGGCTTGGGCTCCATATAATACTTCACCATTTTTAGATCTCTGATTGGTACATTTACAATTTGCTTTATTAGGCCACAATGTACATGGACATGCGAGTGCACGCACACAATTAGAGGGCAGATATACTATAATGCCTGCCTGGAGTGGAATAGCCTCATAAAATACATTCCCACAGCCCTATTAATATTTTATATACAAAAATATGGAGTGTTCCATTAACTTCTCTTTGTCAGAGGCTACTTTGCTGGGTTCCCACTGTGCTTTTTTTAAAAACAGAGATGCAGGTAAAATGCTGTTACTACAACTTACTTTAATGTCATCTGGTGGTTTAACTGGAATGTTTCTCCTCTGCAATGTACAAAATTATTAATTTAAGTTAGCGTAGACAGTGCATTTTTGTATACTATTAAGTACTCGCAAACCTTTCACACAAAAAATTGGTAAAATAGTTTTCATTAACATCTCTCACAAATCTAATGTATCACTACCACCATCACCATGTATATCCTGCTCTATCCAGAAGGCTCAAAGCAGCTACACCACAGCATCTGTGTGTTTTAGAATTATATTCTTTTATTTTAAATAGAAGCTTGACTTGTATACTGTTTCTCTCATTCATACACTATTCAAACTTACATTTTAGCCAACTGTACATCAGCTTCTGGCTTTTGATCACTTTTTTAATATTCCATGACAACTACAATATACCAAAATGTAAATTCCGAAAGATACTCAGTGGTACTAAAACTTATATCCTCTGTCAACATTATAGCTGAACCAGATTATAATGTAAATAGTCACTGACATCTGGAATTAGAATTGCTGAACACTCATTTGCAGCAGGATTTAAGCTTGATGTACAAGTAGACAACTCAAAAGAACTTTTGAAGGCTTGTATCAAAAAAAGTTTCTTTGTATAAAGAACTCAGTTCTGTGGGCTTAACTTCAAGCAGACCATATCAGAAGCCACTGTTTTTCATATGAAACCTCATGACCTTTTGCACTTTCTCCCTCTTAAGGAGATTGTGGTGCACACACACAAACTAACACTTCACAGTAAGTTATTAGTAGACACTACACTTGGCTGTCTGGCAAAAGACCCAGAAAAGGTTAGTTACCATTGTAGTTGTGGATATTTGAAAAGATCTAGAGAAGAATCTCTGTACATCACAAGGAAGTCTAGGAATTTACAGACTCGGTTAGTCACCCCCCAAATATGCAAGAAGCCTCTGTAAATAAGTGTAAGTAAGTGTGAAACCAGACATTTTGGGATGTGAAAGAGGCTTGGGGGGAAAAATAAATATAAACGTTCTCTCATTATGAAGAGAATCAGAGGCCTTTTCAGATAGAAATAAAGTAAGGCTACAGGGTGCAGTCCATCAGCCTACTCTCGCCTGCTGCTTCCCTCATTCCAGTTTCCCTGCGTACATCACTTCCCCTTTCCGATTTTTACCCAAACCAACATTGTTCTGCACCTTCACATCTACAGCATTCCTCCAGATTTTCCAAGTTGTTTGGATGTGGAATTCAAATGTTAATTCATTAAAAACAGGAAACTCACCCAACCTCGGTCCGTGTGCCTGGGGCAGTAGTGAAGGAAAGATCAAGGCAGATTTCTAGAACAGAGCTGCCAGGCAGGCAGGGGGCAGCCACAGCCCACAGTGGGCAGCTCTCCACTCTGCTGCGCTGCCCCCAGGGCCCAGCAGGCAGGACCCAGCATGGGAGGGAGCACCCCATTGCTGTGGTTGCCAAGGTGAGGTGCCCCCTGCCCACCTGGCAGCAGTACAGGGCACAATTCTACGCCACTGCAGCTATCATGCCTCACCTTGACAGCCATGGTGGCGCGGGCCAATAGGGTATGTTGGGGGGGTGTATATGTGGTTGTGGGGGCAGGGTGTGCAGGGTCCCCCCACATACTCCTCCCCATAGTGCACAGCCCCTGCAACTGGCGACAGCAGCAGCAGCAGGCAGTGAGTGCTCAGGGTGTTTGTGGCCCGTGCAGGCGCTGCTGCCTGGTGGTGTGCATCTCTGGCAGCACTGCGCATGGTGGTGAGGACCACAGCCAGGCCAGTCCTCCTCTATCATGTGGGGCTCCACGCATCATATGTGCAGCTCCCGGCACTCATGTGCCACCAGGGGAAGTCCTGCGGGAAGCCTTGCATGATGGATCCAGCTGCCTTCCCTGCTCCCTGTTGTGCAAGTCCTAGGACTCTGCCAGGAAGCAGGGCTCCCCTCCACTACCAGTGTAGTCCCAGGACTTGCACGGCAGGGGGCAACGAACGCAGCCGGCTCCAGTGCACAGGGCTTCCACAGACAGTGCACAAGTGCTGGGAGCTGCATGTGTGCTGTGTGGAGTCCCGTGCAATAGAGGCAGACGAGCTTGGCTGCGCTCCTTGCTGCCACATGCAGAGCTGGCCAGGGCTGCATGCTGCTGAGCGGCAGCACCTGCGTGGGCTGCGAAGACACTGAGTGCCCACCACTTGCTTCTGCTGCTGCCACTGGTGGTGCGAGTTCTGCATTCTCACATCCACATCCTGCCCACCCAAGCTCCACTGTCCCACTGCCCCCTGTGTGCAGGCTTGGAGCTGCCACCAGCCCCTTGCTCCTAGCCCCTGCCCAGCTGCAGCTCCCCCCACACCCATCCCTGCTGCCAGAGCCAACCCTAGGGGGTGCAGGGCCTGGGTCAAGTCAACCTGTGTGGGGCCCCCTTAACACTGTGCAGGGCTGTGGTACCCCTGCAAAGCGGGGGGAGGGGGCAGGAAGAAGTTTCCATGCTTCTTCCACAGCACAGGGCTGAGCTGCCAGCTCCAGGAGGGCCCCACGGGAGGGGCCATGGCTGCTCCACTTGTGCCCCCCCTTCTCCCCCACATGTGGGGCCCAGGGCAGTCTCCCTGATTTGCTGTACCCTAGGGATGGCTCTGCCTACTTCCCTACCTGGTGCCTGGAGCGAACAGGATGCAGGGGAAGCCAAGTAGTGCCCCAGTGGCTGCAGCAGTAGCAGCAGCAGCCCTGCTCAGAAGCTGCCTGCTGGCTTGGACAGGCCCATCCATGCACGAGGGTGGGAATGAGGCATGTGAGCTGGGTGGGGTATAATTAGTTGGTGGGTGCCAGCAGGCCGAATGAACTTCCCTGGTGGGCCAGATCTAACCCACAGGCCATATTTTGCCTACCCCTGGATTAAAGTGATTTTATTTCTCATGAACCCATCTGCTGTCTCTGTGACCCCATTTGGGGTTGTGACCCACAGTTTGGGAACTGCTGTTCTAGAAACTTGCTTGCACACTAAGGACAAAATGTTCCAAAGGGAAATGTATCTATAGAGAAATGCTTGGAAGGGAACTAAGTGGGCTGGATTTTTTATTTTATTTTACTTTTTGCAGCGCAGATAAAAACAGGAAACAACATTTTGTAATTCTTTGGTCTTCTGTTTGCTCATTTCAGGGAAGTAACAATCATGCAACAATGTTACATGCATGGAAAAAATCTTTGCAAAATGGAGCACCTGAAAGTGTTGAAAGTTTCCATTTTAGGGGTTTCATATTACTTAGTAAAACTGGCAGAATTAAAGGCTGGATTGTACTTTCTTCCACTATGCTCTAATAGTCTTAACACTCTTAAATTGCCTTTCTACAAATATTTGGCATTTACACAGAAGTGCTTGAGGCAAATCAGAAGTTTTGTAATGAAACTTAAAATGGAAAGGGCTGAAACAATGAGAACAACATCCTTATACTGATTAACCCATTTTATTAGCTGAATTTTTGTATTACAGATACTCACCTGTTTTAGTTGATAAATGGTTTTGGAATGATCCCCACCAGTAATCTGATCCAAAAGATCATCCACTATTTTCTTACTATAACTTCCAGAGTCTTTCACAAATTCCTGCAGGCTACAAGAGTGAGAGACACGAGCAACACAGAAACTTAGAACAACCACACTGACTAAATCCTCTCCTAATACACATTTCTCATCTGATTAGTTTCCAAAATTATTCTTTTGACTCTTCAGTTTCCTTCACATTCATTTCCTCATGCTTTTTAAAAAAACAAAACAATTATATTCAAAATGTTTGTATAGCAGCTAGGCTTGCACTTTCACTTACTTTTATAAAATCCAACTGTGATTTCTTTCTAAATTTTCACAATTACTGTGGATTGTATTTTTATCTAAAACTTGTTAAATAAAGTACTAAATAGTTCGTGGCTTTTGTAAAGAATTACAGTTAACCAAAAGAAGTTATTTCCACCACCAGCTTCCAACACACACAGCACACATATTAAGATTCTTTATCAACTATAACAGCATCAATAAATCTAAAAAGTTCTCCAACCAGCAAGCAGAATCTCAACTCTTAAATCTGGCTTCATTAAAGAAACACACAAAACTGACTAATAAAGTAGCATGGCACTGGGGCGTGCCTGCTCTTTTAAGGGATCTAGCAGCCTGTGAAGCAGCTTGCAGGTGGCACAGGGAGCTAATGAGAGATTCACTTGCCCGAAAGAGGGCTCAGGTTAGAACTACACAAGCCCAGAGTCTAAGCCGTCAGGCAGTCTCTTCCTGGCAGGCATGGGGTGAGGAGATCCTGGCAGCAGGGCTCCACAAGGGACTGGAGTTTATATAAACAACTCTGCAGGGCTGGGAACAGTGGAAGGTCGCCTGGGCAGATGAAGGTAGGGTTTTAGAGGCAAGTGGCCTTTGTTTTATTTTGAACCCACAGAGGGTCCATGTGCCCAGGGAAAAGCTGAGCCAGGCCAGAAAGCCCACAAGCCCAGAGAAGGGGCAGTGTGCAGGACCAGGGGTCCAGGAGTTCAGGAAGGGACCAGGGGGGTCCAAAGACCCCAGGGGGCTGAGTACATAAATAAATAGCATCACAAAGAAAGAACACCCGTGAGGCTTGGGGAGTGGTGTAAGAGAGGTATGGAGCCATGCAAGCAGCCCTTAAGGTGACAGGTGCCCAGCAGAGGTACAGACAGGCTAAGAGGGCCTACTAGCCTGGGGGTGCAAGACTGTGACAGAGGACCCCAGAGAGGCCCAGTGGGGATCGACACAGGCTTGGGCTCACGCAGAGCCTACAGGCAGCCTCCCTTTTATACCCTTCAAGGGATTCAAAGGAAGGGCTGCAGCTGAGCCTGAACTAGGCAGGGCTGCCTGGCTGCAACGTGGCCAGAGACCTGTTACAAAATATTACTGACATCTGCTTTTCAACACTTCTCTCGTATCAGGGAAAAAAAAGAACAGTGAAGTTTAATGACTTTTACTTTTACTGTTACTTTACAAGATCAAACATGCTGTCAAGGATAACATGCGTATCTTTGTTCATACCATCTTCAGATATTTTTGCAGTTGATCTTGGGAACAAGAAACATTTCCCCAGAGGCACAGGATTTACCAAGCTTTTTGTACAGTGTTAGTGAACTTCAGAGGCTTGTTCTTTAATTCCTACAGCTCATTCTTTTTCAATCAACTTCTTTTATTAACGTGATTACTTGTCAGTTTGACCCTCCAAAGCATCCTGTTCTAGACTCTAAGAAAACACTACTTTCAATTTTAAAAACTTTTGCCATATCAAATTGTTACAGTGAAATCAACCCTTAGGACATGAGTCTCCTAACAAGCCATGTGATGCAGATAAACGATACCTTCAGTTTGAAAACTCGTACAGAGAGCTGATTTTAAGTTATGCACCAAATCAGGATCAGGGTGATTATGAGAAATCCTGAATTCTTAGCCCCCAGTTCTATGCTCTGCCCTCTACTCCATCTTCTGTCAGGTTCTTAAAGTTGTTTTAGTAAGTTGCTCTAAAAGTTGATTTTCAAAATTAGTGTTGAGAAGGAAAAAATAACAAAACCTCTTTTCCACAAGAAAAAGGTCCTCTTGTTTAAACATCCCCATTAAGGACATGCTTACCTTAAAGCACACTGTATTCCAGTTTCATCTCCATACGCTGAATATAGCAATTCCATTTCATCTGATTTCAGGTCATGAAAAATAGAATTATTCTGCATCGAAAGTGCTGTACTAGCACTTGTAAGAAACGTGACTAAAATTAAGAAAAAAATATGATGGAAAATTAGCATGGATCTAACAACTTGTCTAGATGAGATAATTTTTTTTTTTCCAGAAGCAGGGACGTGAAACACCTGTTTCTACCCCTGGCCATTCATAGCTATTTTTAGACCTTAAAATCACTTCTCTCTATTGAACATTTGCTTTAAAAAAAAATAAAGACTTTTACTGCATATACCACATTAAACTGAACCATAATAAGATGAACAAGCTTCTAATACTGCTTTTTCATTACATTTACTTTTTTTGCTTTGATAAATGACATTTGCATTCAGTTGAAAATTCAAATAGTGTTTAAAGATAGCTAAGCATACTAGCAACTTGGAGGCAGATGTAATCCAACACTAGATCTTCAGTTTGATCAATAGGTTAATTAAGTTCAAGTTAAAACTATACTACCTCTAAAATTTTACCTTTGTTTCTTCGTTCATCTTTAAAGCCTAGTGTAGTAAAGCCAGGTAATAATTTGCTTGACAAAGAACTCAGATCCACTGGGTGAGTCTCTTCCTCTTTAATAAATTAAATAAAAAAAATTAGCATACATTGAATGATCTTTTCAAATACATCTTAGTATAAATCTTTTCAATGATAAATATTTGGGTATTATCTGCTTCTGTCTTATCAACAGAACAAATGTCATAACATTGAATAAAAGTAAACAGTTTTAAAAGATTTCAGCCATGAGGTTCAGACACAGCATGTCCTCTCCATTTTTCAGACTGACATTTAGTTATTTCATATCTCCTAACCATAAGTAACTTTCTTAACTAAATAGACTCATCTTAATAAAACATCCTGTTAGCTAGTTAATGAGCAGATAACATGAAAGCTGTGACAGCAAGGCTAGCTTCAAGTTTTTATACTTCAGAAAAGTACAGATCAAATACTTCATCATTATAAGAATGCTTACCCCAGTATAGCTTCTGTTATTTCTCCCAGCCAGCCTAAATTATGTCAATTTAACCATTTTGATACACTAAGCCTTCGAACAAACAAGTATAATTGGTTAAAAAAATGCACTCCTAACTGACATCACAATGTTGATAAAATGTTTTTAGTGCTGACCAGATTTAAGTCAGTTCCATGCTCTGATTTTATCACATGGCTTGACAGTAGTTGAGATGAAACTATGAATTGTTACAAGAGGGGAAAGAAACCTGAGCACAGGCTGTACTGGGTAAAGTAGCAGCAGAATTAAGAAAGTAGAATATTTTTTCTTTTATATTATATAAACTGTAACACAGATACGGGATACTGAATTAGTTTTTTTTTCAGTTCGTATTCAATTCGTTTGTACAATCCAATCAAGATGAAGTTTTCAAAATATTAAATCTAAAGCTAATTTCTGAATATCCACTAAAAAAGTCCTACCCTTCCCCCTCCAAAATCATGCTCATCACTAGAAACAAATCCTTAAAAAAAAAAAACAACAACAACAACAACAACAACAACAAACATTTACCTTCTGCTTCTGGATCTGATGGATTGACTACACTGAACAGTAAACTTCCATCTCCATTCTTTTTCAGATAACCAATCTATAAATAGAAACACACAGATAAAAGGAACATAAATGAGTGCTATACTCACAGTTTTAGTTCAAAACAGTCCAAATTTAAGAGCTGGGATACTACTTTACACAGACATCACTGAAAATTATTCCCTGGATCTGACATCACCTATACTGAACTGCTATGCTCCTCTTAAAAAAAAAAAAAAAAGATTGAGGTCCTGGCTGTAAAGAAACTTCAAAGATGGAATACTTTATAACAAAGATCTTTGTTTTGCAACTGATGCTTTATTTTTCTTAAATGAAAGTTTTAACTTATCTCCCAAACAAGAAATTCCAGATTCATCCTTCCCTGCAGCCTCATTTGTTCTAATTCTCAACAAATTAAATTCACACATTCTCATTCCTTCAAGTTCAAGGGTAGAAAAGTTTTTATCCCAATGAAACCAGTACATTGTTAACGGATGAGGGAGAAGTATGCATCCAGACTACCAAGGCAAGGTTGTTCTGGGTTGCAACAGGTGGAGCCACAATTCCCATCCCACATTTTTCACACCTGGTTCCAAATTCCAGTTTTTAAGTCTTGTTCCACCCTGTCCCCTTCTATCTTACTGATCATTGAATGAACCTATAGAGAACCATGGCAATGGAAAGATTTTAATGATGGAAAGATTAGTTAGTTCATTAAGTCTAACCCCAATAAACATGTAATTTCAATTATTCTTTTATTAAATGAAATAGCAACATGTTTAACTATTTTGATGGCTGCAGTATCAGAACCTTGCAGGGGGAGAAGTTAAAAATCAAGTCTGCTTTGAGGATACATATCTGACTGTCAAAAATACAACTTAAGGAAGAAGATAGAAAAAAAAATAGGCTTGTAGAGCTACAACCACATACTGATGACTCAGTAAAGTATGATTTGAGTCAAAAGGTCAAGATACTCCTTCTGTCTCATATCTGAGGGACGGGTGTTCTCTCATTCTATTTGCTTGTAACATGCTATTACCTCTTTACATATCACATTAATTCTTCAAAGGACTTGGTAACTGCATAAAATGAGTGCCACAGATGACATGAATATTGATAAATAGCTTAATAAATTCCACATTACACAAAATAAAAACAGAATGGGTGATTAATGTAAAGGAGAATTTACATGGATGTGACATTCAGCATATGTTGGACTGCCTCACTGTATTTAAGCATGGTCATTAAAAGTTTTATATAGGAAGCAACTTTCTCCATCTTCTCCCCTAAACTGGTTACATTCTTCAGAGAGGTCATCGATTGGCTGTTCCTTGAAGGAGCTGCTTAATATGGATTTCACTTGATGCAGTTTCCAGAAAAACCTCAGTTACCTGAACCCACTTCTAGTTACTCAAAACAGAAAGAACATCCAATAAGGGCCCTAGGTTTTACTCATCATCACCTGGCCCTCTTATTTTCCACTCGTGTCCACAGCTGACAGGATAACATAATAAAAGCCATTTACTGTATGAAACTATGGGCCCATCTAGCTCAGTGTCCTCTCTTAATTGTTGTAGATTTAGTGGCCTCCCTCTAGATGAGGAGTGGGAGGCAGGGGGGGAGCTGTAGTTCCTGGTGGGCCTAGGCCAGAGGTGGACAATTTATTTCAGCTGATGGACCAGTTAATAAGTTTTGGTGAGCTGTCAAGGGTTGCACACAAAATCTTTCAGAAGATATCATTTTAACAAATTATAGATAAAAAACAAATTATATACTAAAAACCAAACATCTACTATAACATACTTTAACTTTATTTCAAAAAAATATTTTTTGCCCCAATGTATGTATTTTTGAGTAGTGTATAGAGGCAATTGCATAATAGCTCAAAATAAAGCCTTACACTTGTATATTGTGTGGGCAGTGGGGTGTGCATGTGTGGGGGGGCACTGTCCACACACTAGATCATGGGAGTCAGCTGGGGGTGGGAGGGCAGGGGGCACGTGCAGTAGAATTTGCTTAGGCAGTATGGTGTCAGTATAACTGCAGTCTGCACCCCACACCCCATCCGGTCTGCACTTGTCCCACAGTGGTCCACATGGAGCTGAGCCCTGCCCACCTCTGCCCGAGGCAGCCATGCTCCTGCCCACCGATGCCACAGCCCCAGTCAGTGTACAGCTTCCTGGCGCAGTTGCTCCTGGTGCGGTTGCAGGTGCCCAGGTACTGCTCGGCTCCCTCCACCTCCAGCAGCTCCACCTCCTCCTGCCCCTGCTGCACCACCCCAGGCAGCAAGTAGCGGGTGTGGGAGGCTGACCCCATGCAGAGTGCTGTGGGTACAGCTGGGGACCAGACACAATCAATTAGTAGGTGCCTGCCTGTGGGCTGGATCCAGTCAGTTGGAGGGCCATATTTTGCTCACCCCTGGCCTAGGCACACTGTCACCGTCTCACTCAAAAAGGCTCATCTCACCCAGTGGCAGTGTGAATACTGATGGGGAAGGTGAAAATGACATGATATGGACAGAATCTTCTACCCTCTGCTCTTCTCATCTCAGATTTCACCATTTAGAGGTTTAGGAAATTCAGATTTTGAGGCTGCACCCCATCTACCATGTTCAGTACCTACTGGTGGACCTTTACGCCAAGAATTTTCCATTTGCCTTTTGAAGCAGGTTAAGCTTCAGCCTCCATATATTGTGGCAATGAGTTCTACAAGTAAATTACATGCTGTGCAAAAAATAACTTCCTCTAAACTAAAATAGCTTAATTTGAAGCTTAATAGTTTCATTTTGTGTTCCCTAGTTGTAGTATTTTGTGAGACCATCTTCTCTGTACCATTTAATATTTTATAAGCCTCTATCATTTAAACATTTATTTTCTAACCTAAAAGTCCTAGGCTATTTAGTCCTTCATCATATGGGAGTCCTTTATATCCTTGATCACCCTTGCTGCCCTTCTCTATATTCTTTTTGAAGTGTGAGGGAAAAAACTGCATACAATATTTAAGGTGTGGATGCACCCTTCTTAATGCCTAACATTTTGTTTGCCTTTTTTACTTGCTGTCAGAGACTGAGGTGACATTTTTAGCAAATTGTCCATGATTCCACAATCCCTTTCCTGTGTTACCAGACTTAATGTAGAGCCCAACATTGTATATGTTTATTTTGGATTATTTTTCCCCCAGTGTACATCACTTTGCACTTATTAACATTGAATTCAATTTTTACAAGAGCCTTCTGAAGACCTTCACAGGCCACAGAGTCTTTACCACTCTGAATAATTAAGTGCCATCAGCAAACTTGGACACCTCGCTATTCACCTCACTGTTCAGGTGAGATATGAATATATTAAACAGCACCAGTCCCAACACTTGTGTCTGGGTGATCCCACAGTTAACTTCTCTTCATTCTGAAAACTGATCATGTATACCCACTCTTTTTTTCTACCCATAAGCCAATTTCAGACCCTAGGAGTCTGTCAAAAGGCTTTTTGGAAGTACAGATGCATCAACTGGATCATCCTGATCTACATTCTGGGTGAAACTCTTGAAGAACTCTAATAGGCTGATGAGTATATGACTTCCCTTTAGAAAAGCCATGCTGATTTTCCTCAGCAAATCCTGTTGCTGAAAACCCCCTTTTTTTCCCTTAATTTTTTCTGTGCGCCAAGAACAGAAGTTAGACTCACTGGCCTGACTCACTTTCCTGGCTCCCTTAGTTTACCAATCACCTCTAAAATTCGTTACTGATACCTCAATTTGGGCCAGTTCTCTTGACTTGTTCCCAGGGAGGAATAACTCTGGTGAGGGAATCTTCCTATTATTTTCCATAGTAAAGACTGGTGGAAAGACCTCATTGAGCTTCTTGGCAATGGCCTTATCTTTTAGTGCTTTTACACTCTGATCATCCAACAGCTAAACTGACTCTCTGGTAGGCTTTCTATGGGAATGTACTTGAAGACATTTTTACTGTTAAGTTTGGTCTCTAACAAGTTTCTCTTCAAATTTTTTAAGCTTATCTCATTGCAGTTTTGTATTTGTTTTGCAAGTCTGTGCCCTTTTATTTTGTACATATGGATTTGACTTCCACCATTTAAATGAAACCTTGTTTCCTATCATAGTTTCCTTTAACTCTTGTCACTTTACCATGCTGGCTTCTAGGGAAATAAAAGTGCAGGAAGTTACGAAGCTAACGTTATTAAACTACTCTGCTATTCCAACATCCAAGTTCTTCAGCAAATCCTTCTGCAACAGTGCAACAAATGCACACTGGGACAATGAATGGGGCACGCAGGTATCCTGAACTCTACAAAAGTCTCTAGGATTCCCACAACCACACATCTTGCACCACAACTTTGGGTGGAACCCCATGCAGAAAAGCCGCTTTTCACACCAACCACACCACAAGTGGCAGGTGGCCAACATCATAAAATCACAAACGTACCTCAGCATTTACCCTGGCCCAAGTAGCAGCATGGAGGAAATCCTATGGACAAAGCAGTTGATAACGATGTGGTCTACAACTACCGTAACGTTATGCCAGACATTAATATTGTCACTGAACCCTCCTACCCTGAGAAAAGCCTGGAACCAGATGTGTGGAGACACTATCTGGATCCAAGCTTAAGCATGTTGTTAGTGCACAGTGCACTCCAGTACAGCCAGGAAAAGAAGGCTGGCTGGTTGATAATTAGAGAATGTCTGTAGTCTGTGTGTTCAGACAAGAATACGTTTTACGTACTGGGTGGTACAGTAACTAGTGAATTAAAGTGTTCAGGAGGAAAGATATCCCAATCTCCCACAAAGAAAACTAGAAAAAAATAAATGTAAACTTCAAAGAGAAAGATAGAATTCCTAATCATTCCCCCAAATACCAGTGCTAAATAGTCCCCAGTTTTCTCAAGATTATAAACTGTGTTTAATAGGGCAGGGAGAAGATCATCTTACTGCTATATTAGTCACCTTAATGTAGGAGGCTCCACTGCATCTAGCCCAAATGTAACTTAAATACCACTTTATTATTTTATCTGAGAGAATTCTGCAGAGGTCTAATCACAAGACCCATAGGCCACTTACAGTCCACTTAAGCCCTCAGAAAATGGATTCAACAGGACTTACATGATTCTCAGTCTTAGTGTTCACCTCCAAGGATGTCACTAACTCTGAGAAAGTGTAACTGAGAAAGTGTAAAAAAAATCAAGAAAACTTATTTCCTAGGAAGTGACAAACAGCCAGGCACCATACAGAATAACAGACTTAGCCATGAAGGAGACCTTGCTATTTGGTAGGTATCTGTTGATCCTGTCACGAGCTTCATCTGCTGCATGCTCCACCAAGGCCAGGACATGTTCTTCAGCTGTGCTGTCTGTCAGACTGCATGCATTTCCTTCTGGTTCAAATATGCAACTAAAAAGAGTACAAATGGTTCAAATACAAACAGAATCAGCGCCACTAGTCAAGCTAATAGTAAATACTGCATGCTGTAAATAATATAAACTTTAGACTCTTTTCTTCCTAATGTCTGTGAGTTTACACACTGAAAATCTTAGGTATGATAAAAGGCCTGACCATAGTGTTGATTCATCGTTATTGTTTTAGAATTTAAACCAAAGTTTTTTGTTTGTTTGTTTTTTTTAACTTTAGCTATGTTTATACTACAGTAAAAAAAGACGACATATTTCCAGCAGAGATCATGAAGTCTTAATGCAATTATACAAGACAATGGTGTGACCTCATGTGGAAAAGTGTGCACAACTCTTAGTCACCCATATTCAAAAAACCAAATTGAAATTGGATCAGGTGCAGTGAAGGGCTATCAAGACAAACAGGTCAATGGAGTTCCTATCTAATCAGAGCAGGCTAATCTTGTTTAGCCTAACAAAACAAAGGCTGACAGAGGGCAGAGCAGAGTACTGCCTTATACACTAATTCAGAAAGGCATAAACTTTCATAAGCAACAGCTTACTTTGTCAGATGACATGAAAACAAAGGCTGAGGACCAATATGACTTGGATGTACTAGGGAGGAAAAATGTTATTTAAAATAAAGGGTGATTTTTGCACAAGAACAAATGGTTATAAACGAAGTACAAATAAATTTAGGCTTGATAGTAGAAGAAAGTTTCTAACTATCAAAGCAGTGAGGTTCTAAACTAGTGGGGGCCAACCTCTTTGGCAGACATGCTGCAAATTAGTTCTGTACCCTCCCTGAGTGCCACTCTGATCCCCTTTCTGATCAACTGTTCTTTCTGCTTCCTGCCTTGTGCTCCCTGCCTGGTTTGCTGCTTTGCTTTTTGCTTCCTGTCTTATCTGCCTGTCCCTTCCCTGATCTCCTGGATGCCACATGCACACAGGTTCCCTGTGCAACACATATCACAGGCTGGTCACACCTGTTCTAAACAACCTATCAAGAGAAGCAGGAAGACCAAATTTTGAATCAGTTCAAAAAAGGATGTGCAACAACGGGGAACTGGACTCACTGACCCAGAAGACCCCTTCCAGGTCTTCTTAGGCCCTTCTGGGTCGTCTTAGGTTCTTGATCTTAGTAAGAGAATCATATTCATAAACATCAACCATGCACTTTTGTTTCTGATGGCAGTCACAACATTTGGTATTTATCCTTAAGTTGATCCTTTTAACTACAATACATAAACCAAGTACATATAATCGCAGACTATGAAGACGAAAAAAAACTATAATGAGGAAATGGTTTGTAGGAAGATGCAAACATATTGGAAGGTTGTGAAGTCTGTATTTCAACAGGATGAATTTGAGTCTAAAAAGCTATAAATCAACTGTGAAGCTGTCAGGCATGAGCCAAATTCCTAGGTGATGTGTAAGGCACTGCAAATTAAACTTTCTTATACCAATCTGTTCTCCTCTCTTCTAGTCATTCAGCATGCAAGTTATAATCAGTACAGCCTAGTGGCCCAACATCCCAATTTTAGATCTTGTGGCACTTTTGCAATTTTTGCCATTTACACATTTACAGAACTACAACAGATCACGGGCTCATTTATTGAAGCAAAATATCCTGTGGGGTTTAAAATATTTTAACCCATTAATAGCTTGAAATCAGTAAACTTAGGTCTCCCTAATGCACTCTAGGAAACTGAAAATTTATGAAGTTGATGGTGCTCATTGAAAAATCTTGCTCAGCAAGTTATACATTTCCAAAAATGACTTCAGTATGAAGAAGTCTGTGCACCTCAGTTAATTTAGAAAGCATGAATTATGGCAAGCAGAAACATACACCTTTAAGACCTGATCCTGTTCTTATTATGGAAGTTCTTCAATAACATGAGATCAAAACCTTTGTGATATATCAGGTGCAAGTCAGTAAGTACAGAAAAGTTTGGGTAAAGAAGCCTAAGGAAATTATATTTTTATTCCAAGCTCTGAAAAATGTGCACACCATACCAATTAGACCTCTCAGAATTTGATGTCCTATACAGAATTAGGAGTTAAATTATTCATGGCTGAGGTTACATTATAGTACTGCCTAAAAAAGATTGATGGGAAGCATGTTAGCTTGAAAATTGATAAACTAAATTCTCTGCTCTGCTACAGGTATCCCATACTTCAAAGATAAGCACATTAAGAGATCGTGAGATAAGCAAACTAAGAGATGGTGAGCTGCTTGGATACTATAGCAATAGATGCGATTTTTAAATTAAATCAGAACAGGGGCCCCATTGTGCTGGGCACTGTACAAATCTAAATATAGCGCCTCATTATTTTCTAAGGAAGTTATGCTGAGTTTCTTCTATTCCCATCATCAAAACCCTACTTTCAGTTTATTACTCTAAATTCCATCAACAAAGGACATATAAATCAGGATTTTATCATCTGTTTCTGTATAATATTATCTTACTAGGATAGGTACAGTTGATGCTAAAAATCAAACATTAAAAATCCTATTTTCAGACCAATACCTCTTCTGCATTGTTATATAATACACATGTAACAATTTCCTGATTCTTCTGTTAGCCACTAACAAGTATTACTGGAGTTGTCAATGTTCAAAAAAAAATCTCTATGGCAGATTTATATGGCTTTTAAAAGAAATATAAGATGGAGTATATAGACTGGCGTGGGGGAAGAGGAGAATCACATTTCACTGTAAACTTTATATTTATTGTTAACAATAATTATAAATAACTAAAGATTACTATAACAAGCACACCACTAATGAAAACACTCACTTTTTAGTGCTTATTTTGTTCACTGCTAGCACAAGTTTTACACCTTTCCATGTATAGCCAATTTTTAAATTTTTTTTTGCAAAGGGAAAAGACGCTCATAAATACAAAGGCAGTCTCGAAAAAACCTCACAAAATATGTTGGCTAGCTCTCTTGTCTACAATAATCCCTAAACTGCTTTATAAAATAAGAATGTTTCAGTAAACTGTCCAGAAGAAAGTTCATTATTAAGAAATCTAAGAGGATAAAACCATGTATGAGACTGCTTTATATATTCAAAAAAACAGTAGTATTGCAGCAATTTATATTATTTAAAAATTCAGTCAGATCCAATTAAGAAGCAACAACATCTGTCATGTCAACTAACATTGTCTCTGTACTAAGACACAAACCCTCAGTTTAAAATAGTATTTCTTAGTTCAAGACTTTTTTGTGAAATCCTATTTAGATTTTGTTAGGAAGTCCCACAATCATTTTTAAAAGACCAAGTTCCTAAGAATTTTCCATTAGGTTTGGCATTACTCAAAGGAACTATTTCTGTTATGTCACTGCCTCTAAAGAAATGTGATGATAAAAGTGACAGACACTTGTAAGCAAAAGGGACTTAAAACAATCATCAAAATTATTATCTGTTTTAAAGTAGTATTTAAGATGAAACGATACATTCATCAGTCAAGTCATGTTGGCTCCTTATGAATCTGGAATCACCAAAGTTTGAAACTGAATTTTGATCTTGATAGCAAACCCTTTAATAACTGGCAAAGTATCAGAAAGTTCCATCTTACCCAGCCTGGCCTGTTGCACTGGAAGTACAATAGCTGCCACAAAGCAGTACATATTTCCATTAAGACCTTTACCTAATAACTTCTTTACTTGGCTTTTTGGATTTCTTGGTAGTCTCTACTTGTACAGGAACGACTTCAGGGACAGGTTCCTCAACTGCTGTGTCTTCATCACCCAAAAGAGCTGCCTGCTGAGAAAAATCCATGTCCTGCATAAACGACATGCTGCGCTTCAAAGCTAACAGCCGTTCCTAGAATCAGAAAGGACAGAGTGGCAGGGACTTTACCTTTCCCTCATAGCCAAGATGCTATGATAATGGGATGGGATGGGAATGGCCATGGCCTCATTTGGTTCCTAATGTCTAACTTCTAATGGTGATGCAACATGATTTGGTCATGATAGCATGGCACCAGAACTTCGGCAGTCCAACTAACAAGAAACAAAAAAAGGCATGCAGATACAGCCACTTACTTTACATTGTGACTTACCATAATAAAACTGAAACACAGATGAAAAGTAACCTATAGACAGTAGTTCAACCTTGGAGACTAACAGCTGTTCTGGAGTAGTAAGTGTAGAAAAGATCCCTCAAGCCTTCATAAAAGAGCTAAGCCCATTTAAAATAAACAATGCAAATAAAATTTGTCTGTGGGGTGAGACCTTGTAAACAAAGTTTCAGCCCGAAACAAATTTTTGTATTTGGGTTATAGAGACTCAAATCCTGTTTATATGTGGATTAAAATCAGTGGTATACCTCCCACTGACTTCAACAGTGCAAAATGAGGCCCTGAGAGAAAGGGTTTTTTTTAATGCAAATGACAAGCCCTTAAATACAGCAGCAGTAGTGGACACTCCTATCATTAATGACTGATGGATGAAGTGTTTATCACTGTGTCTGATTACATTCCTTTTAAAAGTTCATCAAAAATCTTTTCTGGTTTGTGTTTTTAATAGGTCTCTTACTTTGCTCATCATCTTAAAGCCTGTGTGCAGTATCTTCTTTGCTAGCTTGTAGTACACAGTATCTGGTCTGTTGTACGTCATTGCATTATCACACATCAGCTTAAAATCTGCCTGAAAAATACAAAACAACAGTTGCTGAAACTTCAAAACCCCTTCAGTACCATAAAAAGAACACACTGTCAAGAAATCCATGTGGTGTATTAAAGATGCTCAGCATCACAGAAGGTTCATCGGTATTATATAAATGTCAGCCAAAAGCTAAAAAAGTAACTAGCAAGTGCTGAGCCTTTTCCCTTCCTTATGATGTGAAATCCCAAAATGTTATCTTTCATTTAGTTATTACACACACTTTTTTCTTGTTAGTTTTTTTTTTTTTTAACCTTAGGAACAGTTGGAACATCAGTCTAGTTCCCCCTGATCTTGCAGGACTCAATAGTGAAGTACAGTAGTCACAGATCTCTGCTGTCAGCTTTTTTATCTTAAATGAAGGACTGAGAAAACAGTGCAATTAACTCTTAAATATTTTATTTTCCTCAGCATCTGTTCCCACAGTTAACTTAGCATTAGAAAAAGAGGATAAACAATTTTTAAGATCCTGAGGACCACCTGAAGATTCAGGAGGACCACCGGTAATAATGGCCTTCTTCCCTTTTGAATTGCTTTATTAATTTATATGTAATGTGGTTTATTTATTTAATTCTTTACTCACTCTCTTAAGTTCTTCAGATAAAACTTTGCTTTCTACAGGTTTACTTTTTAACGGACCACTCTTTAGAGGTACTTAACAAAAGTAACAGTTCTACCTAGTACTTAGCTTAGGCTGTATCCATGTCTTTCCCAGACTAAGGAAGGGTGTGTTGTGCCTGAAATCTTGTCTAATCTCTCTCCCAACTATACAGCTGCTTCAATAAAAACATTACCAAACAAATTGAAAAAGAAAAGGTGGGAAAGAACTTCTAAATATACTGAAATAATATTTCAGGGCTCCTCTATACGTAAAAAAAAAAAAAAAAGACGACAGCTCATTTCCCCCTCCTCCTTTTTATTTTCTTGCCCCCTTTTAAAATGTTCCAAATAATACTTGCAACTTGGCTTTTCTACTACTAGCTACCTGGGAAGCAAGCTAGGAAAACTTTAAGAGTACATTTTTTTCCCCATCACATTGAAAAAACAATACTGATTTGTCTTGTCTTGCAATAATAAAATGTTAAGTATTATTAGCAGTTTTAGCATACAATCATAAGATTTTCATAAATTTAATGAGATTTATCGTAAGATTTTATCACAAAATGAAAAATTTAAAAATTCCTCTCTGTAGACTTGAAATAGCTGCACTGATTTCAAAATGCTGAAAGTAAAAAACAATGCAAGCACAAAACACAAAAGCCATTTGGCTTTTTTTCAGCTAGACAGAGATTGACACGTTCAACTGGTGCCTTACAGCACTGGCTGGGGAAGGCACCTACCAACATTTTAAAGGGCACCTGTTCACTTAGGTTTGAATTATTCTGTGCACACAGGTAGGGTCACTGCAAAATTATTTCTTGGACATCTGTGCACATATATATCCCCTTTGAAGACATGGTTGTGCCTTTTTGAAAATAAAGATCTTTCAAGCTTATAGACTAGAGATCAGATTTCCTAAGAAGCAGAAATACATATTAGTGAGATTTGCAAATCGAGTCTGTGCCTTATTCCAAGTAGAGTTTGGCACTTAAGCACCTAATGGGATTTTTAAGAAACTCGTTCTGCATCTTCAAAAAGGTGTTTAAAAAAAATTTGTCCCCAAGTTCTTGAACAGACTGCCGGTTTAAAAATTAACTCTTTAAATAAGTAAAAATCCAATTTTCCGCTTAATTTCCTAGTTCAAAACAGGGATCAGGAACATGCTGTTAGTGGCATTTAGGAAAACACCATCAGTCTAATGCGAAGGGAGAAGAGGTATATAGTTACAACTGGGAGTCGCAACTAGGTTGCCTCTGGCTTCATATAAGCCAAATACAGGATAACAAGGAGGAATACAAAACTGCTGGGTTCTGTGGAGGAAGGCAACTGAAGTGGGCCATTAGACTACCTGGCAAGTGGCTTCTTCTGAAGAGTTGCCCAGCTAAGTGGACAAAAGTCACCCCCTAGACTACCTTTGGAGTAAGCACCCTTCTTCAGAAGCAAAAATTGCTGAAAGCTTCTAACTTCCAAAGGCAGCAGGTGACTATTATGGACTCTTCTCTTACACAGTAACTCACTTATGTCTAATGCCTCAGGTAATCACAAATGAAATCATATCAGGAGGGAAAAGGCAATCTTGTGAATGGGACTTGATATACAAGTCAAAACAAGCATCCTTAAATTCTTCTTAAAGTAAAACACTACACAGTACTCATTATGGAATCCCATTATAACCTGCTTTCTACCTACATAATAAAGAGTGCATGGGGGTGGGGATCACATTTTGCACCCACTACAAATTTCTTGATTTATTAAAAGGACAGTCTCACAGAAAATACTACAGTAATCTAACCTTAGGTGACAAAGGTGTGAACAAACGTGGCAAGACCCACATCTGAAAGAAAAAAAGTCAATCTCTTTGCCAAGTGCAGGCAAACTCATTAACAGTAGGAATGATTATCATTTTTGGTGCCGTTTGCAAGTGTTGTTAAAATTTCTGTGGGCCAGATCTGGTCTGAGGGCGGTAGGTTAGACCCCCTGGACCAGGTTGTTCCAATAGAGCAGTAGTGTTGGAAGAGAAAAAAAAGAAAAGGTGGATGTACACTGGACTCACTGAAGCCCCACCTTCCTTCCTAGCTCCCATAATGGCATTATATTTGCAGTGAAGAAGGGAGACAAGATGGGACCACTGATAAACCATCCTAGAAAGTACCCTTGATAAAGAAAAATACTGTTTGCTCATCTTGCTGCAACTCTCAAAAAAACAAAAAAAGAACAGAACCACTAAGAGCAACCCACTATCTCTGCCAAGTTTCCAAGATGCATCAACCCACAACACAATGAAGGCAAAATGAACAGCTTACCACAATAGAAGTTTCTGTGCTAGACTACAACTAAAACCAAAATATACCTGGTGGGAGCATCAGAGAATTTGTCCAAATCCATTGAAGAGACTACCAATAAATCAGTCCAACATTTTTGCTAGCAAGCAATTTCAGTTGGGAAAGCCAATCATTTAAAAATGAAGTACTAACTATACTAGAAGACAACACAAACTACAGTTAGAATAACTCTTTATCATCTGTAATGCAGTAATTGCTAGAGAGTTATGGAGAAGCTGACAGCAGCTTCCTATTTAAAACTTATTTGAAATTTCCACTCAGAGCACATTTCATTTATGTCACAGGCCAGCTTCATCATCTAACACAAGCCAAACTGCTTCCAGAAGAATCGGATATTCAGCAGTGATGAAGTACATATTTAAAAATATCATCTAGACCTCCCTAGGAAACAATTTAATTCCCTGTAATACTGTTACTGTGAGTATTCATATCCTTATAACACTAGATAACCCTGCCTTTAGCAAGGTATTGAACTTGATCACCTCCTGAGGTCCCTTCCATCCCTACTTTACCAGTAACACACATTCCTGGTTTCTGCCATAACTTTAGCATTTGTATTAGAACCGGCATCTGATACACACAGATCACAAAGTAAAAACCTACTACTATACACAAAATGTAGTGCTGAATTTTTTATATTAAAATTTTATCTTACGTGAATTACTTTAATTAGAAATTACATTTCCTGTTGAAAAAAGCTTAGAAGTGACCAGATCTTTATCAATTCACCTTGAATTCGGTAACAGATTTGTATTCATTTCCCGCAATTTTTTCCTTCATAGTGCCAAAATCCATGGGATGCTTTATTATCATGGAATATCCAGGAGCAATGGCATCCGTGACTGGAAAAGCAAAAAACCCATGAGGATCTTTCCTAAAAATGGAAGGGAAAAAAAAACCAGTGTTTATGGTAACTCTTTCTTGCAGCAAATCATTTTCTCATTTACAGACAGAACTCTCCTGCTTCCAGTAGGAGAAAAGTGTTTAAATTCTTCTCCATATATGCACATTCTTCTTGTGCACGTTCTATGTTTAAATTATGCTTCAAATTGATTAGGGAACCAAGAAATGGTGAGCAAAAATTGAAGATACTCAATGGGCACGCAGAATTAACCTTTATGGTCACACCCACACATGGTGTGGATGTTTGGTTCCCTGGGAGCAACTAGCGGTGATGCACCTTGCATCACTGCTAGCTGTCCCTGGGGAATGCCTGTGCCATGTGCCCTCTGGCATGCATCAAGTTACCCTGGGGGTGGCAGGGAAGGCGGGGGCCAGCATTGGGCTGGCCCCAGAAGCCTTATCTGGGGTTCTGGGGGCCTCCTGGGACTGCAGCAGCAGCAGCAGCAGCAGCAATTCTGCTGCATGGAGCCTGTCCAGCAGCCAAAGTGCAGCTCTAAGTGGCCCAGCTCCGCTTCTGAGTGGCGCACACTGCCCGTGTATGCACCACTTGGCCTTTTTTCCCCCCACTGTGGGTTTTTTTGACCCCTGGCTACCCAGGGGTCAGAAAAAACCTCCACACTGCTCCCTTGCAGCGTGGAGAACAACTGAACATGCAGTATGTGGCATCGCAGATGTGTCTGTGGTACCACATACTGCATGGCCGTGCTCATCTGAACATGACTATGTTCTCTTGTTGATTAGGCTCTATTGCAATAGTTAATTTATATGGTGTTCCCAATTGCTCATAAATTAAACTCACATTTAGTTTATGATTTTATTATGAAGAAAAATAGGTTCTGTTCATACTTTTTTGGGAGCAGACTGCACTGAGTTGACATTCTACAAGGAAAAAAAAACTTTTAACATGAAAAGTATCCCAAAGCTAGCATATTATCCACTGAACAATTTTGTGCTTTTTATTTAAATCAGATACGATCTGACTGCAGCTGTTGTATTTTATAAAACACTGAGGCTTATTGCTAGCTTCCAATTGCTACAATAAGTCAACATTAATTTTCAGACATGCCCTACAGCAAAATGAAACAATTAGTACTGAAAAATGTTAATAAAAACTTAAGTCCCTTCCTTTCTAAATGCAAAGAATTTCAATAGCCTCTACTACCAGTAACAAGAGGGTAGCAATAGCAGGTGATCAGGATTCACCCCCAAACTGGAAACCAAACAAAAGGTTTTATATTAGCTGTTACTGTTAAAAGAGCTGTGTGTATAACGTGCAGACATACCTTTGCAGTTGTCGAAGAAAATGCTCTAGTAATTGTTGGATTGGTGTGCTCTCATTTTCAGCTGAGTAGAGTAAAAAGTATTTGTAAAATGCAATCCATTCAAAACATTTAACTTTAGAATCATAGATTCTTACACACACTGTTTTCATCGCTGAAGTAGCATTCCATATATAACCTAAGAGCCCAAACCCACTTCAGAGGCAAATAGGCTGCCTTGATTTCAAAGGCAGCAGAAACATATACAATAAATCTGTTGCAACTATTCTTTCACCTTTTATTTCCTTAGCAATTCGATTTTTTAAAAATGATACTGAATAATTTTCAGTATCAACAACAATGCTGAAATAAGACATCACATATAAGCTGCATATTTTGTGGCAATCAACAGAATAATATATTAAAGTCACCTATTCACAAAGGAAAAAAGGTTTCATATGTGAAACCTGACTGTGCCAGGATCTTCAAGGGTCACCTAGTTTAACCTGCTGTACAAATGCAGGAGGCTGTATTCTAAATCACCCAAAAAATACTTATCCAGTTCATTCATGCAAAATCAAATGAAGTATGCAGTTTGTTCCATTGTTTTACTATTTGTATGTTGATTTCTGCATTCTGTCAGTGCAACATTAATGCAACATTTATGAACACTTTTACACTGATTTTTCTGACTTTGGGAACTGGTTAAATATTTTTTTTTAAGGAATAAATGCACAGCTGCATGTTTGCTGATAGCCTCGTTATACCTCCTTTAATTTCTACATACATAAATCTATGAAGTGAATTAAGGTAGCAGTATGCAATTCAACAACAGTGCACAGATATAATATATTGTAAGCCACCTAAGACGCCTGTGGGGAACCCAGGCAACCATTTAAACCAGGAGTAGGCCTGGTGGACTCCATTTTCCAGAAGCCCCTGCAGCAGCAGCTTCTTCTGGCTGCCATCACCAGACCCAGCCCTGCTGCTCAGGCACCCTGGCCAATCTGCCCTGCATCCACCGCCGGGGGAAGGGTGTGCGGCTAAGCAGTTGGGATGGGGCTGTGGCTGGAAGTGAAACAGGCAGATGGAGCCAGGCATGGGACCAGGGCTGAGCTGCGATCTGCTCCTTGCACACCCCTGTGATGAGGATGGGTTCTGTGGACAGGGGTGTGAAGGAAGTGGATCGTGGCTCTGCCCTGGCTCGGGCCTTGTGCTGTCACTGCTGCGAGATCCCAGCCCCAGCCCCAGAGCAGCTACCCACCCAGCCACACATCCTGCCTGTGTGACTCTCAGCTGGTCTTCATGGAGATCCTGGGAGCATAGGGCTATGAAAGTGGGGAGCTGTAACACCACAGAGCCTGGCCGAGCTGAGGCAGAGCCCTGGTTCTGCAGCTCCACGCTGTCACAGCCCCCACTCCCAGAGTCTCCAAGGAGACCAGCTAGTAGCCGTGCAGGCAGGGGCTGCTGGGAAATGGAGTCTGGCAACTGAACCATGCAATAGGCACAAGCACTTTAAAGCTCAACTTAATGAGATGTGCTCAGTACAAATCTAGTGGTCTTTACCTCAATAAGGCTTGTTACTTTGTTATTTAGAAATCTGGGCAAATGCAAACATTTAAGCCACTTACACCCAAGCTATGCAGCAGCATCTGTGTAACAGCTGCAACAACTGATAATCTGGGAAGAGAAAAGCACTCAGCCTCAGGCTTTCATATCTGTCAGACAAGTCTCAGGTTGAAAAAGAGCCCGCTGCATGCAGCTTAGACCGAAGTTGCAAGAAATAAAACAAGAAACAGCCTAACGTCCATTCCTCACCAGGAAAATGGAGAGAGATTCCCTTCCCCAACCGAAATAGAGAAGACAAATAGATGCCTGATGATCTGCTTCTACAAACAGGTGAAAGAACAGCTTAAGTGAGACACTTTTTACTCTCTTAAATTTGCCAGGCTTTGAAGGTCCCTCTCTACAGAGAGGAACACGCAGCTCAAGAGACCAGAAACCCTGAATTATCCCTAGAATTATAAACTACACCAACAGTCAATTCCAACTTCTCCCCAGGTCAGTATGCAATTGTAACATGAAAACTCATCAAGCTTGGATTGATGCTTACTAACCAGAAAAAACACTGTTGCAAGCAAGGCTAAAATAAAGGCAGATATTTGGATCTATATGAACACTCTGCGCTAGACATTTACTCAAATATCTTTTAAAGGGAAAAACCCCAAACAAAGGTGACCAAATCCTAGGTAATAAATTTATTTTGCTCAGAAACATCCTTGTTATCAAAGGATTCAACTGAATTTAAAAAAAATAAAGCATTTTTAAAGATTATGGCATAACACTGATCAGTGTTTCCAGGGAAAGGAGTCAGTAAATTAGAAAGGATAAGCACACATTACACAAACATATACTGATTGCCCGTTGGCATCTGAAAGACCATAGGTTTTTCAAAGTCAAAACTTTGGGGCCTGCATCTCTCTCCCCCCACCACTTATGACATACTGCCATAGATATGATCAAATGTGTAAGGTACTCAAGCTGAATCTTAACACTTTATAAAAGAATGCACTTATGGCAAAGCATTACTCCACGGCTGCTCCCTCTACTGTGGAACTGGTTCTTTCACTGGTCTGAAACAGTGGGAATATGAATGTCCTGGGTGTACTGCAAAGAGCAGTTTATTGTTCTGAGCACTACAGGAAGGGCTTAGAGAAGGAGACGAAGATATGGGAAGAACTTAAGGACACAGATTTTGCTGCTCCATTTGCTGAATTGTTGCTTCCCCACACACCTGACGTTCTACACCTTAGTTACCTGACAAATGCTTATTTTTATTTTCAGTTATTAAGACTTGTAAAGAACATATTAGGTCATTTAATTTGCCATGTTATCCTCATATCTGTGCTTGTCTACTTACCTGGCTGAGTCCTGCATGCTCTGACTGGGCGATCTGGAGGAGGCTCAACTTCTACTTTTTTCCCAGGATCAAAATCATCCATTTCTCCCTCAGTGTCACACTGCTCCTTCTCCCTTTTTCTCTTCTTTTCTTCCTAAAATGGCAAGGACAGGAAGTATTTAAAAGATGCTTCCAAAGGACAGCCTGAGGTTCAGATAATAGTCAATGCCTGTTAGCAACAGTGTGTCTGTGCCTTGGTTCCATATCCTCCTGAGTGACTCTTACTGTCATCTGAATACACAGTACTGAAAATGTTCCCAGGGGGGAAACATTACTGGTAAGGGGCCATTGATGCAAAATGTGGTGAGACTAAGTAAATGTCAACTGTACAACAAATGGATTTTGGTATGAGAAATTTAAAGAAGAAAGTTTTGCCAAAGTTAGGGAAAAACCCAACTCACTGTTGAACTATAAAATGGTCAGTAAGTTTAAACCACATCCTTACACATACTTTCATTTTCTTTCTTTTTTAAATGACTTCTGGGTTTAATGTGCCCCTTTTGCAATCACTTTGCCTTTCCATATTTATTCATCTACCTGCTTTGATGCTAGCTGCTATGGTTCTACTGAAAAAGCCTATTAAGAATAAGTACAAATAAGTACACAATGTACTAGACAACCATAGACCCACAGACCATGGTGTACACGTAAGAGGACCATTGAGAAAGAATCCAAAGGCGAGATTGAGTCCAGACATTCAGTGCCTCAATGACTAACTTCTGCCAGAAAGCAATAGATAAGAACTACTACTGACTGCCTAACACCTCAGTGAAGGCATGTTTCTATCAGGATGATGTCCCTTAGCTTTTCTCCAACCAAAAAGTACTTACAAGGCAGTGGGGGTTAGAGTTCTGAGGCGCCCTATACTGCCCTACTCTGGAGACTGCAACACTGTGGTATTTTATAGGAGCTACCACGCCACAAGTAGCCTCACAATGTTGCCACCAGGCCCTTTAGCCCAGGGGTGGGCAATTATTTCAGGAGGGCTGCTTACTGAGTTTTGGCAAGCCATCGAGGGCTGCATGACAGGCAGCCAGGGGCAGATTAATATTAATCCCACCTCATTAATAGTTCTTACCTTGCTTCTTGGAGCCCCTTGTGCCCCTAACACCAATCTTGAAATGGACAGGACCCACTCATTTTCACCGGTCGGTTACCCAGCCCAAAATTACCTTATAGAAGCATAGATTCTCAGCATTTACCCAGTGTGCAGATAATTTAAATTGCTACAAGTACAATGAAAGCAACAGCAACAAATTGGGACTGACATTCTGTCATGCAGTTAAGCAAATTATGCACTTATTAGCTCCACTTCAATCTGATGCATAAAAGCTTTTGCAGCACTAAGGACTGTTTACTAATAAAAATTTAGTTCTATTTCAACTGCTGAAGAGAGTTAATCTGTTGAAAAAATTTACCTTTTATTCTTATGAAACCAGACTGACATGAAAAAAAAAGAACAAATACGATAAAGATTTTTTTCTTCAGAATAAGTTGAAAATTGTACAAAACCGTGCCTTCCTGGCTTCACTTACTGCTGGGGAGAAGGTGGAAAGGCAGTAAAAATGTGGGTTTATGTTAGGGTGCACTGATAGAGACTTTTGGGGCTGATCAGCCAGTTTCTGATACAGCTGCCTCCAGCTGGTAAGTCCAGTGTGGTGGAAGGGGCAGGGGGAGGGAAGGGGCATGGGTGGGGGGCAGATCAATGCTCCCCATAGCAAGGGAGGGGGCAGGCACTGTCCAAGTTGGGCAGGGGGGAAGGGGAGTGGGGACGGAGGGCCACTGCTACAGCTGCTTGCACCCCAGGACATTGGGGGGGGGCGTGTGCCCCCCAGATCTGCACGGGGCTCTTCTCGGCAGGAGCTGAACTTGGAGCAGGTGCAGGCGGTGCTGGGAGGGGGCTGCACCCATCCCAAATGTTGGCATTGCTCCGCTGCGCTCCCATCAGCGAAGCAGCAGTGAAATTTGAGGTAGATGCAGCATCCTCCTAGCACCGCCGGTGCCCACTCTAAGCTCAGCCCCTGCTGAGAAAAGTCCCACACAGCCTCAGCTGCAGCCCACCCTGGCCTGCACAGATCTGAGGGTACACGCCCCCACTCTCAATGCCCTCCAGGGTGGGAGCTGCCTTCCCCCACCATGAGCTGCACCTCTGCCCTGCCTAGACAGTGTGTGCCCCTGCTCCGCAGCAGGCATTTATCTGCCCCTCCCCATGCCTCTTCCCTCCCCCACACCCCTTCCAATTCCACCACACCAAACTTACCAGCTGGAGGCAGCTCTCCACGCTGTAGGCTGTGCTTCTTGCTGCCTGAGCATTGCGCTGCAGCTGTGCACAGCATGGGCATTTATCAGCCAAATAATCGGCCCCATCAGGCTGATATATGATACAGCCAGTTTTCTTTATATCAGTACTGATCTGGTATCAGACCAATAGTTTATATTTCTGCCATGCAGCTCAGCCCAACACGTGCGGCAGAAAAAGAAGTTTCAGCTTGAAGAGCACAGGTGCTCTTCAGCTCTACTGCACAGGGATGAAAAAAGCCGTCAAGCTCCTCAGGCACCAATTACCCCACCTTTCTTTTCCTTCTCTCCTCATCGTCAAGGTGCTTGTCTTTCTCCTTCTCCGACTTTTTCTTTTTCTTCTTCTTCTTCTCTCGGTGCCGCTCCCGCTCGTGGTCCGACCTGTCGTCGTAGTAACTGGAATCGTGCCCCGAGCCCGACAGCTCGGTCACTTCGCTCCCGCCCACCTTCAGCACCAGCTTCAGGGGCTTTTCCAGGGGCTTGTCCGCGTAATCTAAATGGAAACGGACCCCAGTCACTTCCCGGCGCGCGCACGCCCCGCCCCGGCCTCCCCCGCCCCCAGGACCGGCGGCACCGGGCCCCGGCGCT